CAAAAGGTGATCGCGCACGGTCAGGACCCTTTCCTACGTTGTGATTTGATAAATAAAAGACTATAATGATTTCGACCGTCCTGCCATGGCAGAGGCAGATGATACTGTGTTATATTTATTGTATTCGTAATTCAGAGACAGCACATTACAGATAAACAGTTATTGGTGGTGGTATTGTTAAGGTTGATATAATGTACTTAGGGTCAAGGCGGTAAATGTCGCTTGCACGAACAAAAGGTTCTTTTCAGGGCAATCATAGTCATGCTAAAGAGTATAAACAGAGAGAACCCCGCTCGATTCCTATTCCTACACAAAACACAAGCTCCTGCTGCAGTTAACAAATAACATTTATTATATAAGACCACGTAGTCCTACGTAACCATTGCCTGCAACCCCATAGGGCTGTCCCTTCTAGTTTTTGATTATTGTTTCATGGTTTCTTCATCTCTCGATCATTTATCGACCAACATTTGAAAAGAGCCTATCATTTTTTTTTTAAAAGGAAGTTCACCGCTCCGAAAAAAAATAATTACGTACGGGTAGGAGAATGCCTTTAGTTTGCGTGGGTGGCCTTCTGTTTGTGAGGAAAAGGCTTACAATGTTTTGTTCACAAAAGCTGATAGACCCTTTTCAATTGTTGATCGAGATTTTTGACTGGGATGTTAACGAAGTTTCTGCTTCATAATGGCACATTACTTCTCGAACGGTCACAATGCCGATGTATTTGTGGAGTCCGGCAAATCCGGCTAGAAAAGCGTAGGGCCCTCGTGCAGCTTTATAAACGGAAGAAGGCGCTTTTAAAGTCACTCTCTCATGTAGGGCTAAGATCTGATTTCTATAACATATTTCGAACGATATTGACAAAATAAATAACGGTCCTATTACAGATTACTGCTAAATTTATTTACCTTTCAATACGTACCGTTATACCATAGAGTTAACTCTAAGACTAGTAGGTCCCGAAGAAACGTGCTCAACTTTTGGCTCAGCTCTGGTACTATCTTCGATCCCAAGCTAATCGATTCACCCCTCGAAACAGAGGAAAATCGATTAACCCCTCATTTTATCTGTCAAACTTTCATAGCAAATCAAAACAAACATTGTGTAGTACTAGAATTTTGACTATAATGGGATACGTTAATCTATTTGCTTGGGACCAATAGGCTAGTCAAGTAGTGAACCAATTTCAAATCGATAGTTTCATATTGATTGTTGGTATTAGTAAAGCGCGGGCCGATGAGTGGTGGGTGCGTGCTTCGACAGAAATAATGACAACAATCACTAACGAGAACAACCCTGCTCTATTCCGTTAGATTTTACAGCAATCAGACGGAGCAGGCAAAGATCTACATACCAACAAAGACCAACAAACAATTTTTTTTTTTAATGTTCGACTATTGAAAAATCCGTGCAAAGCGAAAGGTGAAACAAAATTTATTTCTAAACAAGCTTAAAATGGATCACGCTCTTTTCTTTGCTTACGATAGTACAGGGCGCAATGAACGAGCGAAATCAATGTTGTTTACCAAAAAAAAAAGCGGAAATAGATTTCATCTTTAGCTGAAATGTAAACAAGATGAAAGTAAGGGGCGACACTTTTAAGGAAATCAAAACAAGGCGCATAGTATTGGGCGAATTGTTGTTGTCATCAGGCAAGGCAAATTATTTACATTCATTTCGTGCATTCATTTACATTCATTTGCCTCTAAATTTTTTCATCAACAGAATTCCATGTAATGGTGTATGCAGCTTTTGTAGGTTTTGATATTAACTACAACTTTTGTCGAAAACTCAAATCTGTACCTCTTATGCATGATGAACCAGGGTGAACAGAACTTACCTATGTTTTTCAATGAATGTAAATTACATTCACTTAAAAATAGTAACAAGTTCTGCCCGCTCTAGTTCGTCATGCATAAGAGGTACAGATTTGAGTTATCAACAAAAGTTGTAGTTAGTATCAAAACCTACAAAAGTTTAATACATCATTTAACGGAATTCTGTCGATGGAAAAAGTTAGAGGCAAATGAATGTAAATGAATGCACGAAATGAATGTAAATGATTTGCCATGCCTGGTTGTCAAACATGTTCGAGGCGATTTAATGATGGCGAATTCTTAACGTTCCGTATTTACGGGCGAAATGATGGGTTTTCAAGAGAAAATAAATAAATAGGGGATTTGACACTCAACACAAATAAAAATTCATCAATTTTACTATCATACATTCAATCCCGGAGAAAATATTGAAAAAACCTTCAATTAAAAATTTAATTAATTTAATTAATTAAAAAAAAATAATTAATTTTCTTCTGCATCGCTTACTTTTTCTTCATCCATTATTTCAGCGGTCTTGCTCTGCTCCATTTTCTTCCTACATCCTGCACTTTCCTTTCCATTCTATCTTCGCCCTTCAAAGCTTCCGATAAAGTTTGGTTCCATGCAGAAACTTCAGCAAACGCTTCTCAGAATCCTCGTCGTTGCGTAACGCCGTAAAAAGGCTTGTGGAATCGATTCCGTATTTTGTCCTGGCCGCTTAAAATTTCCTGCAGTGTAGAATAATGTGACGAACGTCAACAACGGTCCCACAGCATTCACATGCTGTTGAAGCTGTTTTCTTCAGCAGAAATTCATGCGTAACCCTAGTATGAACAATTCGCAGACGAGTGAGTACGCGTTGATCGGCAGAGCTTGACATCTGTCAATTGTGCCCAACGTTATTGTTATTGTTATCATGCCCTCCAGGGCTTTTAGCCTGGTCGCCAGTGTAACTTTATTGATCAATTATACACCTTCCATGGAGCAATCAGATAGATGTTGGTAAGGTGGCTCGTAGTCTACACCAACTCATTCAAAAATGGAAAACATGTGTTGTTACATTCATTGTCCTTCAACTACAGCAAAGAGAACTTCAATTTTACAAAATAATGGCATAGATATGAACAAAAAGACCAATCAAGACCAGCCACAGTACGGTGTAATTGCTTAAAAGTGTGTGGTCAATCTCTAAACAAAAACTGTTGTTTTGATTATAGCTCTGCAATTTGTTGTCTAATTTTACTTCTCTTTGCAGTATTTGAAAGGTATATGAGTAAAGCAAATGCAGTGATCTTACTTCGGTGCTATGTGGCATATTTTTCAATTTATTTATACTAATATTGTTGGGACGTTGTGGGCCTTCAGGAGAGGAAGCAGCCGTATGTACACCTGTCCGTTCATCGTGTCCTGGGTCATGAAAGGTGCACTCCGCTTCCCGCACGTGCAGATGGCTTGCCAAACCAGGAATTTCTTCGCAAATTTGGACATCTTCTGAGTGCGGACATGCTCCGGAACGCTGAACTTATCCTTGGCCGTGAAAAACAGGTTGCCGGGGATCTGTTTGAAGTCGGCCTTCACATATGTTTCGTCGTCCATTATGCAGCATTCAACTTTCGTCAGCATGTTGAGGTACAACTTCCTGGCACGGGTTTTGGCGGACTTGTTCTGCTTCTCGTCGCGATTAGGGGCCTTTTGTACCTTGAACGTTCGAATCCCAGCCTTAGTTTTGGCCTTCTGGACAAAACTTCGGCTTAGGTGCAGCTTCTTAGCCACATCCCTAACGGAGGCGTTCGGATTTCGGTTGAAGGCCCCAACTACGCGGTTGTGATTTTTGGTGTTGTACGGAATACTTTTTCCTTCACTTCTGGGCTTCCGATCGGTGGTCAACCGTTCCTCGAACCGCTTAATCACTCGCGACACCGTGGAATTCGCGATTCCCAACGTTTTAGCGATGGAACGATGCGAGAGATCCTTGTTCTCGTGATGAATGCGCAAGATTTTATCACGCACGAGCTGTTCTTTCGACTCCATTTCCGCGAGTTTTGATCACAGGACTTTAAAACTTGCAGGATGTAAATAATGCACTATGAACTAAATCCACCCAAATTTTCATTAAATTCTACCCAACGTTTAAAAAGTTAGAGCAATTTCATAGTGTGGCAATTTCATCGTGGACACCCTTTATCAACCAAATTTTTACAAAAGTATCTCAATGGGTTCTACGTCTACTTTCATTTTAAAATTTATAATTCTGAGAAAATCAGTCATGAATATTCAGTGTGATTTTTGGAAAAAAAACTTAACTTCAGGAGAAGTTTTAGCATGTAACAATCGTTAAATATATTAAACCAGCTACCAACAAACTAAATTTCAGTCACTACCTTTCAAATGACCTATAAAGATCGAACATCGGTCGAAAAATGGCAGAGATGTGAGCAAAACACATTTACTTGTTTTTTAAAGGGTGACCTCAAACTTCCCAAGTAGCAAATAGGGTTTGTAGGATTACCTGTACCTTTGCTGGAGTAACTTCGGAGTTAGTGAACACCTTAGCTGTAGATTGTTGGTGTCCAACTCAATCGGTGGATGCCTGGTCGAAGGGAACGGATCAGCGATGGACACGTTAATCGTTGGTGCAGATTACGGACAACGGGTTAAGGGTGCGAGTTCTTCCTTCATGGCACAATTAACACTACACAAGTTTTAGGGGAAACACAAACTCTAACTACACTACATTTATTTTTGGTACAAACTACAACACGAATTACAATAAAAATCTCGGTCTCGCAGGACCGTCTTCGAGCTTGTGTCACTTATCAACTCGCTACAATAATCATCGCTATCTGCTCTCTAACCCGATCCCAGTATCCCATCGTTGATGTGGTGAATACCACAAGAGATCGGATCGTAGACCGAATCTCTCGCTCTCATCGTCTACATCATCTCCCGTATGCTAATGAAAGCGAAAGTGATCTCGATCTACCATCAACTGCCGGTCGATCGATGGCTCGTACAATAGCCACAATTTAAGCCATTATTTTTCTGCTACCTTTATTTGCTATCATCTGGTCAGCTGTTACGGTGATAGGGTGGTCCTCACAGACACGCTCACCTACCCAGAAATATCCGTTTCTGAAAAAAAAGAATCCTCTTCGATTGGGATGGGATAGGGATAGAATAAACTTAATAGTTGGTCGAATCTACGACTGGCAATAAACAAATCTTCTCGACAGGCCGCTTCAGTTCACCAGACACAGATGGCGACGACTCGAGCAACGTCTTCGGTTCCCCTTGCAGACATCCCTTCAAGTAGTGGAACTTTTCTACCTCTGAAAGATCCGTCTTCCAGTGGATCAAGGAAGTGAATAAGTCCCGGAAACTCAACCACTCGTCTATCTCCCCGTTGAAAGATTGCAGCTTAATCTGCGGAAGACGAACGTGATCAAGCGTAGCTGTTACTGATGGTTCAGCACCAAGGATGGATTGGCTCAACGATGTAGGTCCCTGCCTCTCCCTAGCCTGATCTATTAATATGGATTTTGCTTGATAGTAACGGTCGCTAAACTCCTGTCTTTGTATCTCGAATTCGTCGTTTTCATCGTCGAAGTCATATTGCGATTTAAGGTCGACGAGAGTAGCACCATACTTCTCCCACAGTTCGTAGATTTTCTCCAATCGTAGATTGATCTGAGTAGTAGTCGTTATTTCCTGTATTTTCTCCGTGAAACGCCAGATATCGTTCAAGACCAACTCAATCTCCTTCAACTTGGTAATGAGGAGTTTCAAAACCGACTTCCTGGTACACGGCTTCTTGGTAGGCATGATGTTAGCTCGGTATAGTTGATACGGAACGAGAAGAGAAGTGTCGTTGTAGTATAATGTGGTCCCTTGCTTCGGTGGACACACGCTATTCTATGTTAACTGACCTTTACAACAAACGATTCCTCCTAAATTGATCCAAAGTCAGCAATCCAATTGACCAAAGCTTCAGTCACGACACAGGTACTTTGTTGGTAATGCTCATTAGCGAATAAGGAACGTATGAAGAGGAGAGGAAACCAGCATGTAGTATTTAAAATTATCCAAACTCGACTGGACATATACTGAGGCAGCTCACCTAGAGAAACCAACAGCTCCACAAGTGTCCAAATCGATCGAATACTTCTACACATCAATCAATGATCAACGTTTGAATGAACTCGCCAGATATCGAAACTCCTATCGTATGATGTCACCAGATGTCGAAACTCCGATAGAATACCAACGAGAATTGGGAGAAGAAGATGAGGAACTAATGTAGTACCACTAGAATCCGACTTCGGCCGGGCATATACTGCGCTCAACTCACCCAGAGAAACCAGCAGCGGTGCGAAACCCAGCAATGAAATTCAAATTCAAAATAAGTGCAGTCGCAGTTCGTGTCAGCGAGTAAATTAGGGATGTGTCCGCAAATAATCGAAGAGGATACCAATTTCCATTAAAATGTGTATTTTCTGCTGCCAGGCTTCGGCAGACATATACAGAGTTCTATATAGACTCACCCGGACAATAATATGATGGTGCTCCCTCTTCGGTGTCGAAATCCCGTCAAATGCCTTGATCGGATGAACAAGATGGCCCCAACCATGGCCGATGGGCGTCGTCACTGATGGCTGGCGGCGCAATGGTGCATATGTGGTCCAATTAACCGTCACTCACAGCCAAGGATCCGTCCTTAGGAAGTTGGTTGTCCTCCTTACCAATGGTCAATCATCGGTCAACCAATGGGTTGTTCGTAGTGTAGCAGATCAAGAAAATCGAAGGGGGGTGTAAGAATCACGAATCCTAACTTCGGTAGGACATACACTAAGTGTTAATTTACCTGTAGAAACAGGAATCCGTTCCTGGTTAGTGTCCAGTCCTAGCACGAAAGCCGAGTTGAAATTCCATCCAGTCAGTTCAAACTTGAAATGGCGCCAGATCCAGGCGCGCGTTATCCTTCACAAAGGCTCCTTTCAGGCGAGAATTTAGATGGCTGCTGATTGATTGTGCACAACTAATTGACCCGCGGAACAATGGCGACACTCCTTTCATTCGCGGTACACAATGGTGTGATGTGTGTGTGGTCTGGCCTATTCCATCCGTGAATGGCATCAATCCAGCGTTTAGGGTCTTGACACGGTCCACAGGTATCCGGCTCGAAGGACCGGGAGTGTAATGTTTTTTGATCGATAGGCCAAAAATTTGCGATTAGGCCGAAGTCAATTTCCACCCTAATCTCAAGAAAATGATCGATTCAAAAATGTTGCCGGCCATCAATACATCCATTTCAAATAATGTATTATGTTGTTGTTGTTATTATTTTGTAAGACATTTTACATTCAGCGGATTCATTTGTGTCTATTTCTGTGGTTTGAATGTAATAGTGTGTGGATGTGGGTGTTAGTTTTTATAATACAATTCAATGTTCACATCGTTTGTATCTCCTTTACTCGTTTCCCCTCCTTGTGGTTTATCGTCTGCTCTCTAATTGAATGTCATCTTTGTTTTCACGTCTTCTTCTCTATTAATTTCACCTTTATTTCTTCTATTTTCTCAACATCTTCTTTCTTCATCATCTTCGTTTTCTCCGTTTCGGTTTGCTCCAATTGCGGTTCCGCTTCGCTTTGTCTGCATCCTCATAATCCTTTTCTCGTCTTATTTTGCTTACTGTTCTTCACATCTCCTTCGTAATTTTCTTGCTTTGCGTTGAATCCGTGTCTTCTTCTTTCCTTCTCCGGAGATTCTTCTGGTTCACCTTCTTCATCCGCATCTTCGCTTTTTTCATTAAATTTCGCTCAGTTACATTATCATTAATCTTCTTCTGCTCGGTCTTCTTCTATTTCCTCTCCTTTATCTTCTCAGTTTCTACATTTTCGTTTGCCCTCTTCTTCGTCAGATGCCATCCTGTTATCCTTTTCATCTTCTTCCAACTTCTTCGCCACGTTTCATCCGTTCCGTCTTCTTCTGTTTCCTCTTCATCATCTTCCCACTTCCTGTTTTTCTTTTAGATTCATCGATACACATTGACTTCCTGTAGATACTTCAGCAACTGCTTTTCCTTGTCATCGTCGTTGCATAACGGCTCATGTAGGCTGGTTGAATCAATATCGTATTTCACTCTGGCTGTTTCAAACTTCCTGTAGTGCAAAATCACGTTGCGGATATCCACGACAGCCCCACAGCATTCGCAAACCAGCGGTGAATATTTTTTCAGTAAAAACTCGTGTGCAAAAACTTTGTATGTTCGATGCGCAGTCGATGCGGCGGAACTTTGCTGGTCGGTCCACTTTTTGGTTTCGCGTTTAACCTCCTTCAATTTGACTTCCGTTAATTGCGCCCAGCGTTCTTCCCATATTAGACGAATGGCATGGTGCATTGCCGTGATGGCATACTTCCTCGGGATGGCGACGTTGAGTGGCGGACTGTTGCGTGCTTCGCTTGTTAGTCGATCTGCTTTTTCGTTGTCGCGGATGCCTGGAATCCAACGATGTTGTATCGGTTGGTTTCGTAACAGCTCTACGGATGCTGTTATTTTCCGCTCCAAAAGGCAAGTATCCGAGTCGGGAAGAATGACCAATTCGTTTGATATGCTCGTGTTGAGAGCCAATGCTATAACGTAGTTAACGGAAACATCAACTTTTCTATTTTTACACATTGCACCATAATGCGAGATAACACAACTAAATTTAGTTTTCATTCATACGAATACAATGACTGATAGGCACACGACTTTAAATTGTGGCAGGTCATTACCAATTGCTAACCACGTTACATCCGGCTCTCTAACGCCGCGATAACATTTTGATTGATTAGGTATGATTAGAGGAGGTCGTTAATGATTACGGTTATTACGGTTATTTCCAATGATCGATGAAAAAGCAAAATCACTCAAACTTCAGTAATTGAACCACACCTTCATCAAATAAGTATATACGCTTGTGATTTCAACGACACACATCATTCTCATTTACGAACTGAGATTAGATAACCTAAATGAATTGGACAGATTTATGGTCACCGCACTACCGTTCTATAAAAGTCCGTCCAGTAAAGGGTCGACTGTTAGTCTGTGATGATACTCGGCCTGGCAATGGGCTTTAAATGCATACTGTTGGCTACGGCCTTGCTAGCTATCTCGGTAGCCGCACTTACCGAGAAAGCTCGCTACGACTACTACCGTTTGTATCGTACCAAAATCGAAACGATGGAGCATCTGGAGGTGTTGCAAGCTGTCGAACAGCTCGGCGAGGGTTACAGCTTCTGGAGTGAGCCGGTGCATTTGGATAGCGAGGTAGATCTGGTCGTTCCACCACACAAGTTTGCAGAATTCGGAGAGCTGGTTGAGCGATACGGGTTGAGTGTGGAGTTGAGTGTTTCGAATCTGCAGGAGCTGTTTGAGAACGAAATAAGCAGGAAAACGCGGGAGGCGTTCGGGTGGAATGCCTACTACACGTTGGAGGAAATCTACGCATGGATGGATGGGTTGGTCCAGCAGTACCCAGATGTACTGACACCGATCGTGGGTGGACATTCGCACGAAGGTCGTGAAATTCGGGGCGTGAAAGTGTCGTACAAGGAGGGAAATCCAGGAGTGTTCATGGAGGCTACGATTCATGCCCGTGAGTGGATTAGTGGGGCAACACTGACCTGGATCTTGAATGAATTGCTCAGCTCTGGTGACGAGAAGGTGCGACATATTGCGGAGAACTACGATTGGTACTTCTTCCCGATCACCAATCCGGATGGATATGTGTACACGCACACGACCAACCGACAGTGGAGGAAGACCCGCAAGCCGCACAGTATTTTGTGCGTAGGAGCTGATCCAAACCGGAACTGGGGATACAACTTTATGCGTGAGTAGCGGTGGTGGGAGGGAGATCATGGAAGACATTGATCTAAAGATTGGGTTTCATTGCAGAGGGAGGTGCTTCGAATGTACCCTGCTCGGATACCTATGCTGGACCATCGGCATTTTCGGAAGACGAGACTCGCACGCTGTCGGAGTACTTCACGTCGGTGCAACCCAAAATCAGTACCTACCTGTCGTTCCACGCCTATTCTCAGCTGCTACTCTTGCCCTATGGACATACTACGGAGCCAATGGATAACTACGACGAAATGGTAAGGCATCCGAAGAAATTTTTTTGAATTGTCGTTGTTTAAAATTTCGATTCTAGATGGAAGTCGGTACCAAGGCTATTACGAAGCTGAAAGAGCGATACGGGACGGAGTACAAGATTGGAAACATTGCAGAAGCGATTTGTAAGTACTAATTTTTCCTATTTGATCGATCATAACCAACCAATTCCGTTTCTAGACATAGCTTCGGGCGGCAGCATTGACTGGATCAAGGGCGTCTACAAGACGCCTATCGTTTTCTGCTACGAACTGCGGGATACCGGACGGTTTGGTTTCGTACTGCCACCGGATCAAATCATTCCCAACTCGGAGGAAACGTTGGACTCGCTCATAGTGATTCTGGAAGAAGGCGAGAGTCGAGGACTACACAAGCTCTAATCGATGGATACTTGAAGATCTGTTTACTTTACTACCGAGTGTTAAATATACAATGCTTTTATTAATCCAAGCAATTCAATGACGTCCAACATTGGTAGTGATAAGATAACCGTCATCGACGGATTGTTTTGGAAGCGTTGTAAATCAATGCTTTACAACTGGTAATTCTACTTTCAATTGAAATCGTTATCTTGTTCCATCCATATTAAATTATCTTAAGCATACAATACATTTCATTGATCGCAAACGAACTCAAATTCAAATGCTAAATCGATAATTGATATCGAATGACAAATCAGCACCGAGAGGCGATCCAATTCCTCACCCTCGTTAGAAGCTTTCTGATGTAAATCAGAGTCAACGAGGGGAAGTAATTGAATTTATGACACTCTCTCCGGTATCACAGTGTCCTTCGTCACCTAAAATAAGAAATTCTCATCTGTAGATATTAGCTCATTCGAAAATCGTCAGTAGAAGTTTCACAACCCATAGAGATCCGCCTTTCCGCGGGTGGACGCGGCAAATCTTTGTTTCTAAATTCTTGTACTAAAACGGGTGCGAACGCGAGAGGAGAGCCAGTGTGTGTTCGTCTAAATGATTTCTGGGAAAAGCGAACAAAAAACTAGGTGAAAGCTTTTCCCGGTAGCTTTGCGCATGTTCTCCACCGTTGCCGTCGTCCGCACGGAAAAGCTGCAACAAGCAAAACGGCTATGTACTGGAAATCGCTGGTTGGGCCCTGGTGGGAAATCTCCGCCTTTTGAATATTTTATGTACTCGGTGTGCCCGAGCGGGAGAGGGATACAGAAAGAACGAGAGCGAGCTGTCCAGATTGGACAATGACGGCGGAAGATGAAACTTTTTTGGAAGGAATAAGTTTACTTGTTTTAGATGGATTTTTTAATTATTTCGAAGAAAACAAACTTCATTCTTGTACGTTTCTTTCGCTGCCTTAACATTTTTGGTGTAAAAGTGATTACAATTGCTAGATTAACCATTTTTCAAGATTGTAACATCATATTTATCATTTTTTCAACTGTCTTCCATGTTCCAAAAACATCAAAAAAAATCACTTAAAATGAAAACTATTCGCATAACAGTAAACAATGTTTGACATTAAGGTTCAATTTACTTTGATGGATTTTCGAAAAATTCAAATGCAGTTTTTTTCGACGTATCATTTCAGATTAAAAAAAAGCTTGCGTCATTCTATTATTTTTGCTATTTTACACAAAATGACGCGAGCTTTTTGCAATCTGAAATGATGGGTTGAAAAAACTACATTTGATTTTTTCGAAAATGCATCAAAGTAAATTGAACCTTAATGTGTTCCTTCCAGGGCTGTCATGGTAAATTTAGAGCTGATTACTCACTGATTTTTCATATGTGCGCTCCCTTTGAGGAGCGCCCATAATTGTAATTTCGGAATGTACACAGAATTTAGTTTCCCCTAATTAAAACTAGGGTACGGGTAAACTTGTTGCTATCAGCTCTCCTTATAAATTGTAAATTTTCCGTATTTATATTTGCTTTTCAGTTTAACTATGGATCAACCATGTTTTATGACCGACGTTTCGGTCTTTGGATTTGGCCATCTTCATGGGATATAAAGTTGTGCCGTCTTTCGGTTCAGTGAAAAAATCTTTACGATCTTAAACTAAAACTAGTCCTGGTGAAGATTCCAACTCCTGGACCGAAATGTAGACGATGATAAAAAGACTAGTTCTTCAAAATCTCTAAGCTTCCCCGCAAATCTAGAATTCTCAGAAATTTCCGATGCTTCTTGAACTAACTGGAACGAGATGAATTTGCCAAAGAGCTAAAAATCACGTTAATAAAGCTTTAAAAAAAATAATTGAAAGAGATCTGCGTCTCAAAAGTCCCCGCAACTTTCCTGAAGTTTTAATACGTCATTGAAGCTCATGGAACTTCTTTTGAAATCTCTTAACTTACCAGACGTTCCTAAAAGTTTCTAGAAGTTCTTGGAACTTCCCTTACGTTCCAACAATTTTGCTGATTTTGATGGAACATCCCTGAAAACCATGCAAATTTCCAGAAATGTTTGGAATATTCCTGAAATTTTAATTTTTTTTTTTTAATGTTTCATAATTCTTAGAATTTCTTGAAAGTTCCTACAATTAACTACTCTGAAGTTCTCTGATCTACTTTGAAATACTCGAAACATTCATGTGAATAATGAAACGGCTTAAATTTGATTGAACTTCTCTGAAGTTCTGTCGACTTCGCTTTTCTTCGAACTACTGTAAAGTTCCTGGAGCTTCCTTGAAGATAAATGAACTTGTAACCTTTCGTCCTCCACGCTGACGACGCCAGCTAAGATAATTTACCAAAACCAACTAAATAAATTTCAAATCGAGTCCAGTCAGAGACTATCCTCCACAGGGTTGCTGTGATTTTCCCTACCTCGCTCAACGAACACAAGTTCATCAAACCGACAAGAACTGAAATATATTGGAAAGGATATAGACTAAATGGTAACGCTTATCTACTCGAATGATATCCGAACTCGAATGATATCCGTGGCAACTTACACACTAAGATTTTGTTTTCGTGTTCGGTAAATTTTACCGAAATCAGAACAGCTGAACGTTCGGTAAAACTTTGACCTTCATTTTAAAGGATATTGAACTTGAAAATACTTTCAAAACATGGTCAACCTTGTTTAAAGGATCAAATCTTGTCATTTTAGTGGAGATTTAGTTTCAAAGTAGCTGAAAAGCAATTGAATTGAATTGCATAAATTTTACCGAACAGTTCAGCTGTTTTTTTCGGTAAAAATTACCGTAGTTGGCGGTAATTTCTAAGTGTGTACGATTTAAAATTGGCTCACTGCTTGACTAACCTATTGGTCCCAAGCAAAGCGATTAACGTAGCCCATTCCAGTCAAAATTCTAGTACTACACTATGTTTGTTTTGATTGGCTATGAAAGTTTGACAGATAAAATCAGGGGTTCGTTGATTTCCTATGTTTCGAGGGGTGCATCGATTAGCTTGGGACCGAAAAGAGTACCAGAGCTGAGCCAAAAAGTTGAGCACGTTTCTTTGGAACCTTCTGGTCTTACCTCTATGGTAGAACGTAAATACACAGACATAGCTCTTAGAAGAAAATTCTTCAAAAAATATCGTCAAGTGTATATTTAGTAGAATCCAAGTGAAATTTATGCCTCACTAGTGGCGGTAAATAGAACTAGTTGATGGTGATATGACAGCCGGATCAAATTCCAGAGTTTGAAGTATAAATTATTGTAAAAAAAAGTTCAAAATAGTGAGATGCGGATCATGGATGATACATGTGGGAAACTTGTCAAATAATGTAATTTTATGTTAATTTTCATTGCAATGTCATTGAATGCACCGATATTATTTAGGTTATGTTTTGCATGATTGCAGATTCCCATCCCGAAATCGACGTCCAAGTCAGTCTGCTGGATATACTGGATTATGTTGGGGACTCCGTGCTAGAGGATTTAGAGACCTAGCATATTGTGTGCCTGGGCTATAACAGTAGATCAGCAGCAAAGCAAGAATTGAGGGGAATGGGTTTGCGCTGCAAATTTCCCATCACGGGGAGCGGCCACTATTTACTCTCAAATTACCCCACGACAACAAACTTTGGGACTTATATTCAACAAAATGATTGGAGCATATTCGCTCTTTTCCTGTTCCATAAACAGTGGCAACCAAGGGGTAAGTCACTCAGGCCATTGTACCGAAATCAGATTCGGCACAGCTTGGGCACATCCATCGGTATAACTTCACCACAATCCCGTACGCATTGGATTGTTGTAAATAAAATGAGAGCACTCCTTTACAACTGTCATTGAAGTTGTTCACAACACTACGTGCCGTTTGACTGTATATTCAGGAGCATCCTCTACAGGGTGCGTGACGAATTTTTGCAGTAAATTTAATAGTAATTTCTCATGCTTGTGCAGCATGATTTAGATATATTTGGCAGCACTGGATAGCTTATACTGTTAGGTGTAAGATTTAAACAAACAATGTTGAGTAAACGTAAAGATGTCGAAACAAGAGAGCAATCTGTCAGCCGTTGTCGCTTTGTTGCGCGCCGGAGTATGCATGAAAGAAATAATTCGGTCGGTAAATGTGTCTGAAAGAACAGTGTATAATATTAAAAAAGGTTTGGGGAAGTGATAAGACGGAGCACCTGCTCATACTGCTAATAAAGCACAAAAATGGCTTACGGAAAATATTTCGTAAATTTGGGAGGAAGAAATTTGGCCTCCAAGCAGTTCCGATATCAATCCGTTGAATTATTTTGTATAGGGCGTCGTCCAACGGGATACCAATAGAACCCCTCACACCACACTTAAGTCGCTAAAAGCTAAAATCAAGACATCTATGGATCGAAACATTTTAAAACGTGCATACTGCAGTTTCCGGAAGCGTCTAACTACAGTCGTCGAAAGGGAAAGCAATTTTTTTGAATAAATTTACTTACAACTTTCATATGTTGCGAAAGAAAATAAATCGCACAAAATTCATTGCTAGAATAACTAACTGGTGTATTTTTTCTCAAATATGCCATTTACTGCAAAAATTCGTCACGCACCCTGTAATTGAATATACCAGAGGAACTCAGACCAGCACTTCACTTATAGATCTGTAGGTTCTAGAGTGGGCTCAAGAGAAAGACCCCATAAGTATCTTTAATGCAAATAATGCTGCAACTCACACAAAACAAACTGCAGAAGTCTATTCATCATCCTCTATATTACGTCTCCTACAATGTTCCCCATCGGTTCCAACTCTTTCCGGCCGCTGGTAGACCGTTGCTTTCGCATCACGAAAGGCTAGGTTTCTGGTCTGCCTTTGAGGGCATTATAAAATCCTAAAACGCAGGACTTTTATTATTTTGCGAACATAAAACACCAACATTTTGTATACCCACGACTTCCTGAGAGGTCCTCAATCCGATTTATCATTGCTATTTCAAACCAAAACATTCAAGGTGTCTTTACAACCAATCGCAGCTTGCTCTATGACCGGCACAACCGGCACACAAGCGGCACACTGACAAAATTGTTACCCAAGA